CACCAAATGCAACCAGGTCAGCTGTCTTTTTAACACCCCATGCGGAATTCATGCCCCAAACAAGGGCCCAAGGGAGGTCACTGCTCAAAGGCACGTGGCCCAAGTCATGGGGTCCCCAAGCGCAGGCACAAGGAGATGCATGAGGAGACTTGTATCCCTGTTTGAACTATAACTGCAAGGACACGTGAAGGCGGCCTAGTGAAAACATAAATAAGGTCTGTGCCAAAAGCACAACTCCGAAGTCAGCAGGAGCGCGGGGCTGAGCTCGGCATGAGCCAGGCCCAGAATAGCACGGGCTGCCCCGGGAGCGCACGGCCGGGGACAGCACGCGCGCCTCGGCCCCCTGCTCAGCCCATGCTATTTAAATCCCTCACTTGCGAAAGAAAAACCTGAAACAAGCAAATAAATATTATCTTCAAACACCAAAGCCTTGACAAATCTCCCAAAAATTCTTGATGTGGGCTGCTCGCCGCTGTTGCGCAACGGGAAGAGGCTGCTGCTTTGCTCCGTGCCGATGTTGTGCTAACCTCCGCGCGCTCAGAGCTGTTCAGACTTCAGATTAGCTGGGCTCCGAGGCCGTACAGTAAAAGCAGGTGCTGCAGAGCCCAATGCTTCTCCTACCCCAAGGAGCGGCGCTAAACCGAGACGTGGAGAAGCTGCAGTGCCATTGACTGGCAGGAAGGCGAGACCAGCAGCCACCGGCCAGCGCCACAGCGGGGCAATCCAGCACGTGGGACACACACGGGGCAGGCGGGCAGCCGACCAGCAAGTGTTGCCATGGAAGGGCCTTTTCTCCAAGGCCTTTCACGGCCCTCGGGGTCCTGCCCATTAGCAGCACCTTTCTCCTCCCTTTCCATGCACATCGTGCCCTTGGCAGCAGTGAGGATGGATGGCTGGTAATGCTGGGCAGATACGTCCTGCACCAGTCCTGCCAGCACCTTCGCTCCCAGCCCACCAAGCAGAAAAAGCAGCTTGGAAAAGTGGTCTCGGAGCGAGCAGAGGCTCCCTGCGATCGCGGTAGGTTCGCGCCCAGGTTCCTGCAGAACAAGTTAATGATCTAAGCCCTCCGGAGCCGCCTTGCCCTTAGACTTCACCGTCTAGACATCTTGTGAAAGGAGACTTTGTCCTCGGGCTCCTGCGGGGCAGCGGGAGGGCAGCGGCACGGCGCGGGGGGCAGGCGGCCGCACGGCGCGGCGCCGCGCAGCGAGCGCCAGCAACGACATGGCCCCAACGCTCCCAGCCCGTCCCCCAGAGCCCTGTCGCCCCACACGTCCCGTTCCCCCGCAGCAGGCACCGGCCGGGGCGCCATGTCCCCGCGCCTCCCCGCGCCCCGTGGCCGCCATGTCCCCGCGCCTCCCCGCGCCCCGTGGCCGCCGTGGCCGCCATGTCCGCGCGCCGCCCCGTGGCCGCCGTGGCCGCCGTGGCCGCCGCCTCGGTGCCGCTCGCGTGCTGCCACCTGCTGCCCCGTCGCCACAAGTGCTCGGCGAGGCGCTGCCAGGCAGGCCGGGGGACGGCGGGCTGCGCAGGGGACACGGCCAGGGACAGCCGCACTGTGCGCCGAGAGGCCGCGGCAGGACCCAGGGGCTGCCCACGGGGACACGGCCACGGCCGCTGGCCGCCACGGCCCGGCCCGGCGCCTCCCGCCACGTCCCAGCTCGCCCCAGCTGCCCCCGGCCTCCCCCTGCGCCTCGCGGGGCTCCCGGCCCTGCATCCCGGCCGGGACGTGGCAGCACAAAGCAGGGCTCTGAGCCGGTGCCCTCGGCTGTCCCGGGCTTCCACACACACTGCCATGACCAAGTGTAGGAGGGAAGACTCACCCATGGCAGCAGCGGCAGGCCCTGCCGGGCTCTGCGCCCTCCCGGCCAGCCCGCAGCAGCCCGGAGCCCGGCCCCGGGCAACAGAACCCAACACAGAGCGTCTGCTCTTTGTGCTTCATTCTCCCGGAGTGATAACGGCCAGCTGCACTGCGCCCACGACGGATTCCTGACACCCAGGGGCTTGCGGAGGCCGAGAGCACACGGCAAAACCAGGACCGTCGAACACACCATTCCGAGATACCGATTGCTACGATTGCTCCCTCGCCAGAAGACAACTAATCCAAAGAAAATACTGGTCTCGTCAGAGCTGCACAACTCTGCTCCACTAACCTGATGGGAAACGTCTCCATGTCCAGGATGGCCGTTACTGGAAACCTAATTGTTCCTTTATTGCAGCAATCCAGGTTTGCCCTGAACGCAACGAAAAGCAATAGAGCAGCACGTGAAGGCTGCGCGTGGGTCCTGCTCCCCACGTGTGAAACAGGTTTCTAGGAAATGGGGTTCAATTAAGCAAGCGGAATGAGGAGGCGCCCTCCCTGCCACAGGCACCTGCGTCAGGGATCAGCCTCAGGCCGAACGAGCTCAGCAGGAGCAGCTGTAGGAGAGGCGAAGGGGGAGCGGGGTGCCCAGCATGCTCCCTGCCACACACATCGCTGGAAGAAAACCTCTCCTGTGTATCTTCCTTTTTTAATTGACTAATAAATTTAATTTGTTTGGTAGATTGAATTAGAGAATATAGATAGGGGAATCTCGGTCATTGAGCAGGTGCAGATGCGAGAGGGCACGTGTGCACCTTGACCACGAGGTGCCCGCGTGCGGAAAGCAGCACGCAGGGGGGAGCAGGGAAGGTGCCGGTGCCCGTTCCTAGATCCCATGGCCACAGGCGGCCAGCGGGATCCCGTCCTGGGGCCGGCTCACCCCAGCTTCCTGCGGAAAACACGATTTGGGTGCACGAGCGTTGTGAAACACGGCAAGTCGGGGAAAGGTCAACGGCCTGTTTGGAGAGTCGGGTGAGGGACACCCTTCGCGGGGGGACACGAGGCCACAGCGTGGTGGCCTTGGAGCGTGGCCCTGTGCAAAGGGGTGCAGGACGGGGGAGAGGTGCCAGGTGGGACAGCCCGAGACCCCGGACAGGGCAGGGGGTCGCGGGCAGCGGCTGTGCCCGGCAGTGGCAGGAAGGGACCGGGGCTGCCCAGTACCCGCAGCAGCGCCCTGTGCGCTGGGGAGGCGGCCGTGCCATGGGCTGCACACAGGTACCCTGCCCTGGCTGCGAGAGGCCCCCGGCTGCAGCCCGTGCCCCGCAGCAGCGCAGCTCCCTGGGGACCCCCTGGGCAGGGCGCCCCGGGGCCCATCCAGGCTCTGGCCCGGGTGCCGTGGGCCGGCAGCAGCTGCGGCCGTGTTTGGAGAGCCCAGGGCTGCACAGGACACGCTCGGAGGCTCCTGCCAGCAGGAGGCAGAGGCTCCCAAGCTGCAGCCTGCGCTGCCCGCGCTCGCTCATGGCACCCAGCTCCCGGCACTGCTCCCTCTGCTGCCTCCTAGCCCAGCCGGCCCCTGGGGCCTTCAGGACGTTGGTCACCGGCACACAGGGTGACCCGTGGCAGGGAGCTGCAGCGCTCCTGTCCCTGGAGCCGTGGCGGGGCCCTGCTCTCCAGGGGCCGAGCTGCACACGCTGGACCAGCCTCCGACCTCACATCCCCCGTGCGCTCGCAGGCCACCCTGCGAGTGACGCGCAGGGCTTGTCAGCCTCCTCCTCTGCGCCCCGCCTGAAGGACCCACCTTCCCCACCTGCATGACCACAAGAGAAGCAGCACTCAGGCCACCAAGGAGGACGCGGGCAGCGCAGGAGCTGCCGGGGAGCAGCGGCCACGCGCAGCCGCTCAGCGCCACCACCTGCACAGCCTCCCTGTGCTCGAGGCTCTTGTTCCTCCCCGTGTCTCGGACGTGAAGCTCAGCCTCCCCAAGCCACTGCAAGCGCCTGCCTGCAGGCGAGAGGCCTCCTCCACTTCCCCCACGGGCTGGAGAAATGCAGTATATTTTCTAGAGCCGCGGTCACCTTGGTGCGTGCATTAACGCAGCAGTTGAAACCCCGCTCAGTTATTTTGCAGTTGGAGGGAGAGCGTGGGCATTGGGCTCCCTCCGAACGCGAATAGCGAACGGCGTCGGGCTCACACTGCTGCCTCTGCGCCCGCAGCACGAGGGACGCTGCAGAGCGAGGGCTCTGCAAAACAATGCCTCAAAGGGCAGCCGAGCTACGTAAAACCTAACTTTTTTACCTTTACCTTTTTTAAGGTTTTCAGAATATTTCAGAATATTTCAGAATATTTCAGAATATTTCAGAATATTTCAGAATATTTCAGAATATTTAAGGTTGGAAGGGACCTCTACAGATCATCTAGTCCAACCTTCCTGCTCAAGCAGGCACACCTASAGCATGTGGCACAGGGTGGCATCCAGGCGGGTTTTGAAGACCTCCAGAGTAGGAGACTCCACAACCTCCCTGGGCAGCCTGTTCCACTGCTCTGTCACCCTAACAGGAAAGAAGTTGCTCCTCACCTGGAGACGGAACTTCTTATGCTTCAGTTTGTGGCCATTACCCCTCGTCCTATCGCTGGTTTTACCTACCTTCGCTGCCCTTTGAGGCATTGTTTTGCTTCTGGAACGTTTAGGCCCATCTCCTGTTGAAAAAGGGGAAAAGTGGAATTCTGTGGTCTCTAAAGAGATCAGAACCTCAGAGCCTTCGAGGTGCTCACCAGCTCTCTGGAAGTTATCCAGTGTTCATCGCGGCAAAACCCCATGTGATGAAATCACAGAAATGCAGAGAAAAGTAAAGGAGCTGGACCCTCTGGCTCCGCACTGGCCTGTGCCTCAAACCCGTCCCTAAAGGAAAAACCACCACTGCACAGAGGACTCTCTAAATTACTAGATTTTAATAGCCATTTAAATCCTTTGCATACAGCAGTCTGCGGCATTAGACAAACCACATAGATACCCAACAACTTTTCCTGGATTTTACCATGTAAAACTATCGGCATTTTTCTTCCATCAACTCCTGTAGTAGAAACAACAACCAAGCAATCGACAGTGACGTTCTAGTTTTCTAAGAGAACACCATTTCTTCTCTTACAAAAAGAGCAGAAAAACTGGAGGGGAGTTTCAAACACGTCACAGGTCAGCGTGTCCTGGGGAGGTCGGGAGCGGGCGGCCCTCGGGGACGGCCCTCGGGGATACAAGCTCACACACAGCATCGGGAGTCGCTAGTCCTGGCGCTCCAGGAGCTCCAAGGGACCGTGCGGTCTCAGACGTCCAAGGGCCGCTGGTCTCCGCGAGGAGCATCAGAGCTTCACGCTGCGAGCGGGCGCCGCGCGGCTCCTGCAGCCGCGTCAGCTACAAGTGTCCAGCGGCCCAGCTGGAGACAGCAGCGAGGAGCTGCCTCTGGGAGGATTAACGCAGCAGAATCCGTCTCTAAAGGTGCCTCGCGGGCTGCAAAGTGTAACTTGCCTGGATTTCTCCTTTTTTGTATGTAGTTTTGCTCAGTTAGGCGCTATAAATTATCAAAAGGAAACACTACCAAGTCTTGCTTTTCCACACCACTACAGTTTAAATTGCGTCCCACGGGAGCCCGAGACATCTGCTAGCAGTTCGCACCGGCCAGGGAGCACGCGAGCCCCTCCTGCACTCGGCTGCTCCTGCACTTCTCCCATTTCACGTGGCTCCGTTACATGTGTTTTCAATGACGCCAGCACTGGCAGAATTCACGGAATTCAGGAAGTTCAGGATTTACCTGCGGGCGCAGCAGAGCCGACGTGGGCCGGCCCTGCCCTCGGCGCGGACCCCATCTCCCCAGGGCTGCTGCTGGCTCGGGCCCCACGTCTGCAACACGCCGAGTAGTTCCGGGAGGTTTCGCTCCGCTTGTTTGCACAACTGCTCCACACCGGCTGTCTCCACGCTGAGTTTCCACAGGACACAGGTTTCACATCAGAGGAAACCACCCCCGAGGAGGCCGGGGTGCAGGCGGACATCGCTACTCCGGGCTGTTAAGGCATCACATATACACAGGAGCTGCTCAGGGATTTAAAAAATCCACTCACCACAAGTGTAAACATTTTGCACATACAGTCATTTTACTCTCACACACGAAGTTTTCTGCCTTTTTTTTTCTGCATAAATCATAATTAATGAGCTACATAAACAGCACGTCAGTAAATGGCTGGGACATTAGGATTCTCTTATAACAACATTGCATGCAACGCAGCAGAGTCTAAGGAGGAGAAATACTGAAGTCTCAGTCCAAGATGTTTCTTCCTTCCTAAACTTCATAAGTATTTTCAATAAATGTCATTGACGACTGTGTGCCAGTAGCTTACATAGCATGGGCCGCGTAAGGAGTTTCAGCATGTTCCATTGCTGGAGTTTGGTGATTCCAGGTCACTTCTACTTTATGCAAAGGTAGAAAATCGAGAGATTCTGTTCCCATTTTTACTGAACTGTAGGTTGTTCAATGACCCCTAGGTCCCCATGTGGCGGTAGGGCTATTGATTGATGTGATTTTTGCCTTCCTCAGGGACTCCGGCACATCCACCGTGATTGGAACGAGATCCCTGAGAACTTATCAAAGCATCAGTACTTCACAAGCGAGACCACGTGGCGCCGGCTCCCCGCGGGCTCACGCTTGTTTCTTGTTGTTCTCTGTGCTGTGCAGCAGCGCCAGGAACTCGAGAATGAGCTTGGCCGTCTTGCGGGGCCGCTCCACCACCACTGTGTGCCCGCAGTTCTCCAGGATGTACACGTGGCAGTCGGGAATGGCTTTTGCCAAGACGTCGGCTCCGGAAACATCCAGGACCTGAATGACAGGGGGAACACAAAACCAAGCAGTGTCGGGGCAGGGGCAGACCGAGGTTTCACCGCATGTTGTAGGAATTCCCGTGGGAGCGAGGCCACACGAGGCTGGGGAGCAGGACACGCTCCCGATCCCGCAGCGTGCTCTGCACCATCGTGGCGCTCAATCCCCCTTTCCCGCCCGCCCGGGGCCCTGACGGCCGGTGCTCTTACGCGTTCACAAGGCCCTTTACATGCAGCCGTCCTGCCCCTTCTCCCCTCCTCAACCCTGCCTGCTCCTCCCTCCTTAACTGCCCAAGCTGCGCATGGAGATGTGCTCCTGTCCTCTCTCCGAGGAGCCTACCTGGTCCTGCTTGCCCCAGATGACCTGCAACGGCGCTTTGATCTTGCTCAAGTTCTCATGCAGCGAGTGCCTGGACTTCTCATCCACAATTTCTAGAAATACTGGTGTGCACAGAAGGAGAATTAGTCTCCTGTGAGGACACTTTCTCCTTCCACGCAGGGCACAATCTGCGGTCCCCCAGGCAGGATCCCAGGGAGGGCCATGGGGAAGGAGCCCAAGGAAAAGGAGCCCATGGGAAGGGGAGCTACAGCGGGACAGGAGCATGCTCTTTGCAAAGGCCCCATTCTGCACCATCCCCAGCCTCTAGTACGGCAAGATCCTTCTCCAGCCCCATCTCTTCAGAGGCATTAGCACTAATTAGACAAACTTGGAGAATACGGGAGAATTAGACCGCGTTCCCCTGCTTGGGCACAACCCCGTGCCAGGAGCTCTGGGTGACCCTGCTTGTTCCCGAGGTGGGACGAGCTGATCTCCAAAGGCCCCTTCCAACCTTAAGGACCGTGCGCTTCTCGGCTGCCCTGAGCCAGGCCTTGCAGCGCCAGCTCGGGCCGCGCACTTACGTTTGCGGTAGAAGTCGTTGTGAGGGATGCGAACGTCGACGAGGCCCTGCAGGATCTGCGAGGGGAGCAGAGGGAGGCGCTGCCGGGGCCGGACGGGCACCACGCCGGCCGCTGCCGCACGTGCCGGCACCGCGGGGCCCCGTGCGGGCCCGGGCGCAGATACCGGCTCGATAGCAGGCTGTTGCAACAGCGCTTAAGTAACGTATAGCTCAGTAACGCCTAGCTCACTCTTCTGGAATGGCACACTGAGGTTTTCCAGGGCCAGCGCTACACCCCGAGCAGGCTGCCTTAGGAAAGACTGCCCTTTTCTTCCTTTTTTCATGCTTTTGCCAAAGAATTGTCTTGGCATTACCTTATTTTTTTTTTCATATCCTCCAATCTGCTCATCCCAGACTTCCTAAGGAAAATCAGCTTAATAGAAGCCCCTTGCCAAGTTCGTCTAGCCTCACAATGAGGCCGTTAACATTTCCATCACCTCTACAAAAAAGCAACACACAATCCCCTTCGAGACCAGACAATAGCCTTCTTATTTATTTATTTAACGTTTCCTGCCAGCCATATTTACTAAAAACACTTGTACTTCCCAACCAGCCCCCAAGGGACTTGTACGTCCCACACATGGAAATTTCAGCTAGTGCTGCTGGGCTGCAGTGAGAAAAGTGACATTAAAGGGGAAGTTTTCTGAGCCATAGAGATACTGGAAAGAGAAGAAATCCCTGCCAGGGCTTCCCGAGCCCGTGTGCTCGGACACCCACCAGCGATCTGGGTCCCTCTCCATCCCCACGTGCATTTCTGTGGGTGAAGCGAGTGCTGACAGGGAGCAGAGACCCTCGCCAGAGAGAACTGCTCTCAGGAAATGACCTTTCAAACAGGCTTTGCAACTCGGCAGAAACTTAGAGAGGCCAAGAATACAGGGATCTGTTAATACTCTCAAAACGCCACTAAAAATAGAGCCAGACTAAGGTCTCCAAGTTATCCATCTCTGCTGGAACGCCTGCCTGTTTAATAAAACTGATACCAGCCATAAAGAACAGCACCTGGCAGATCCAGTTTTGCTGAAAGGGCAGCAAGGCAATTGGCACCCTCCCTTCCAAAGTCCCTTTGCAGCAGCTCAGCACCAACGCGACAGCAGCTGAGCCTTCTCACCTGCTGGGGCACTTTGAAGCGGACGTAGGAGCACAGTTTGAGCATGTCGGCCATCTCTTCGGGCGTCGAGGGAATTAACGGGATCCTGTCGATGTGCTCCGACTCCTTGAGCTGCTTAATGAAGTTGGTTTCCGTCGAAGTCTGCAGGCCTGGGACAAAGAAGCAAGGGCTCAGACCCAGCAGGGACCACAGCAGCCTTGTGGACAGAGGCCCTGGCCTTCCCGCTTGATCCCCATTTAACAAAACCAGGGAGTGAAAAATCAGTGCGTGCAACAGCCGTAGTATTTATCCGGAGAGAGCCCAGCCTTCCCTGCCGATCCAGTTTTGACACCACTTGGCCCAACGGCTCGATGCAACACAGATGCACTCGATGCACTCTATGTATGTTTGCCCAGCAGGGAAGATCTTGCAGCAGCTTAACCTCGAAGCCCTTCCTAAACCCCGGAAGCATCTGCACAAGCCCGGGAAGAGTCAGCACAAGCCTCCCGCAGAGAGGAAGGGAAATCTCTGCAGAGGAAGGGAAATCTCGGACGGTACCTAGGAAACGTTTCCTTTCGTTGCTTGCTGCAGACCACAGCGAGAGGGAGGCAGCTGAGCCCTCCCCACGCTGAAAGGCACCCTGCAAACCCACTCCCGTTTGCTGCGTTTCATGCACAGGCCCCCATGTGTTGGACTAGGCGCCAGGCTGCACAGCGTGGGACAGAGGGCGAGCGCCACGCGGGCACATGAACCCTCTGTCTGGCACCAATCTACCATGCAGAGCGGCCCAAAGCGGTGCCAGAGCCCCTTGCTCTCCAGCTCCTGCACCCCCGGCAGCAGTAACGCTGCTTGCACCGGCTTTAAGGCCCATGGGGGCTCTGGGGGAGGTACAGCAAGATCCAGCCAAGCCTGGTGGCCTCTCCAAAACTGACACCACAAACGTGCCATGGGTAAACACCTGCCACTCCAGACAGAAAAGCATTTTCTTCAAGACCACAGGCTTGAAGACTAGGGGACCATCTCTATGCATGGATTGAGGTACAAAAGGAACAATAACTTGGAAAACAACAACCAAGACAAGCCCGTGATTTCCTCCTTGGTGCTCCAAGCCCAAGCACTGTGCCCTGTCAGAGATATTAAGATTATACCTATCTTAACATACAAATTATCTTTCAGTTGGTGTTGCCCTGGCCTTTGCACGAGCTCCTGCTTGCTCTTTGCACGTTCCATCTTGGGTTATCACACACCTGCAGGACATATAAGGGTCAGGCTGCTGATCTCCTCCGGGTACTGAGCGGCATAAACTCCAGCGACGTTCCCTCCCATGGAAGTGCCAACCAGATGAAAGGGCCTCCTGTTCAGCTTGATGCACTCCACAAACTGCAAGGGAGGCAAAGGGAGCTTTGTTGGGCGAGGGGAAGCCTCGGCATGGGGTCATTAGTGAAATTACGCACAGGAACCGGAGACTGGTGGTTCTGGCCTGGATACAGCAGGGGATGGGGGCTGTGCAGGGGATGGGGGTTAAGGAAGCCCCCTGGGAGCAACGGCAGGGCTGGAAAAGGCCCCACCGAGCGTGTCCTGCCCATGTGGCTGCGGCCCAAAGGGGTCCCGGGGACACTGCAACGTCTCCATGAGGGACCTTGCACCACCGGAGCCAACTCCACCCAGCACGTGTGGATTCCCGGAGCCCAAACGAGGCGGAGATGCCTGCTGTGCCAAGTTGTGCAGAGGACACGGAGGAGAGGCACGTCCACGGGGCAGGCTGGGGACGCCGCTAAGGCAACGACCTTGGCACGTTCTGCCGCGCGGGCACTTCGGTCCTGCCAGCCCGCTGGGGCAGAGGACAGCGAGAGGCCTTTCCCCGCCCTGGCCGGCGGTGGGAAAGGGTTGCACGAGTCCAGGAGGGCCCAGGACACGTGTGTGCCTGCACGTGGCCGCCCCGCGAGGAGGGACACGGCACTACACAACACACGGGACCGGGGGCCTCGCTCTCCTCCTGCACCAAGGCACTGCACTTGGCAAGCCACAGTGCCCCTTACACAGTGCCCCCTCTTTACGAGGGGGTTTGTTTCGGGAATCCTGGGTCTAATTTGCACCTAGGGCTTTCTGGTAGTCAAGCTGAAGACCTCAGGCGTGCCTCAACGCTGGCTGACGGCTCACGCGCTTCGCGTGCAGCCCTGCAAGAGGCAGCGAGCCAGGTTTCCAAAGCGCTGCAAACTCCCCCGTCCTCTGCCGAAGGCTGCAGCGCAGCTTGGTGAGGAGGAGAAGGGGAGAGATGCACAGGAGCAGCAGCAGGGCACAGCTCCAAAGGGATGGATGCAGCAACGTGCACCGGGCAGCAAAGCCACACGTCACCTGCAGGGTTCAGGACGATGAAGCAACGGCACCTTCTCACTTGCCACATCTGTGACACCCCCTCAACAGCTGGCCCCTGCCCAGGGGACCACAAGGCTGCACCCTAGTTAACACAGCTGAAGCCACCCCCTAATTCCCAGTGCGAGCTGCAAAGGTAAACATGAAGAGGAACGCGAGCCCATTGCTGCGGCTTTACCTGGTGTATTCTTTTCGTTTGCCCACTGATGGACAAATCGTCTAACGAGGACCTGGTTGTCCCTTCGTGACCAGGCATGTCAACACACACCAAGTGCAGATTCTTCGGGAGGAACTGCAGGAACAAAATGCAGGCAGTTAGACCAAAGAGGAACCGCTGCAAAAGCCAAGAGAGGGAGGCAGGAGGTGATTTCAGGGGGCAAAGGAGGGTCACTTTTCTCTTAGAAGCCCTTGGTTACTCTTGCACCACAATAATTCAGCTCATATACCATGGGTGAAATGATGAGAAACCACAGGTGAGACTCATTTCCCTCCCCCTTCCCTTCCCCATGAAGGGAATAGGTACCTACTGTTTTGCCCCTGCAGATTTGCATGAAAAAAGGGGGGGGATGAAAAAAGGGGGGGGGATGAAAAAAGGGGGGGGGATGAAAAAAGGGGGGGGGATGAAAAAAGGGGGGGGGATGAAAAGGATCCAACTATGAGCAGAGAGCTAAGGGGGTGCATTTCTAGCATGCTAAGATGGTCATCCCCGACTGTGTCCCTGCACCACGCAGCCGTTCCTCCCCTGCCCCACACGCAGCCCGGCAGCGCGGGCTCCTGCTCAGCACCACCGGGACGGGACGGGACGCCCACCTTCACTATGGACAGCCACATGTCTTTGTGTGCTGAGAACCCATGCAACATCAGCACGGACGGTCGGTAGCCAGGTCTTCCTCTATAGGAATAACAAAACTGATAGTCATCGTAGTACGCGTATCTAACCTGCATGCCCAAGGCTCGGCGCCAGTACCTGCAGACAAGGAGAGAACAGCACCGGTGAGCAGGGCAGGAACGCAAACCACGCTCGGCTGCCCATTAGCAGGTAGCTCCTCACGCTGGCTTAGTCGTGAGTTAACTGGGACTAATTCTGAGCATTGCTGGAGCAGACCCTGTGCTTAGAGGTGGTGCTGGCTCACGGAGACACTCCATTTGTTAGAAGTTGCAAAAAATACCCCGAGTAACTGAGCTGCAAATGCCCTTGAGGCCACAGAAACAGACCAAAATGTCAACCCTAGAGCTGCAGATCTCTGATGCTGCACGGAAGGAAAAAGGCTCCGAGGGAGCACACGCAGGAAGGGCAGCGTGCAGGCGAGGGAGCCTGCGGGGCGCCTCTCCTTGTGGATGGGTGAGACGGCTCGATCCGTCACAGATCTGCCTGGCACATCCTTGCAGCCCTGAGCCCACGAGCCCTCATCACATCCACGGAAACACACGGGGTCCCAGCAAAGGGAACTGTCACCCAGGAGCATCAGAGAAGCTGGCTGGCTGATGGCTAAACACGTGCCTAGGGATGCACGGGAAGGACCAGCGCGGCCCCCTGCCTATCCCCCAAAGCAAAGAGCAGCCAGCTCCCCAAACACAGCATTGGCAGCCCGCTTAAAGGGCAGCCAGTGAAACCAGGGGCCAGATGGGGCAAAGATTAGCGGTGACCCTGGGGGCACGGGCTGCTCGGCCGCGGCGCCGGCACCTCGCGGTGCCGCCGTGTCGCTGCCGACACCGGGCCGGGCAGACGCGGCAAGGTCACCAGCGCGGCGCTGGGACGGCCCGGCACTCGGGGCTTATGCGTGCCGCAATCCTCTTTCCCGCTAATCCCTTTTTTTATGGGAGTTAGCGGGGCTTAAGTAACATCCAGGCTTGGTGTCGGTTCTCCAGAGAGGCGAATTTCTCCCTGAATAAATAACTTAAGCGTGTTCGCCTCAGAGACACCGGTATAAACCACTGATGGGCAAGTCGATAACATTTTTAGCAACTGATCCTGATGGATCAGTTCGGGAGAAGACAAAATAATCTGCGCAAAGCTGAACTGATCCCTCGCAAGGTGTTAACATGCTGAGCCACGGCAGCTAAACTGATTAATCAGTTAAGGCAGCAGAGGAGGGCGGCAGCGCGTGGGGTCACTGGGACAGCGGCCGACGTCACGCACTGCCCGGGGGGGCTTTGGGAGCGCGGGGGGGCACGGATGCACGAGACACCCCGGGCCTGCCGGAGCGGCGGGAGCGCGGCGGGAGAGAGGCCTCCAAGGAGGAGGAAACACCACGAGTTGGTGGGGGAAAAAAGGCAGGTTCACAAAGAAGCAAATGGGGGGGGGGAAAAAAAAAAAAAAAAAAAAAAAGATAAATCTGCTCCTCACAGCAGACATCTCTGCAGAAAGGGGGTGTGCATGCACAGGACACGCACCCGAACGCTGCCAACAAGCGCCCTCAGGAACATGGAGACATTTGCCTTTCAAAGGAAGAAAATCCCCTGAGCTCTGATTACACAGTCCCCTCAGCCTAATGCTAGTCCTGCACACGCTGTGCTTTCATTGAGGCCCTAATCTACAGCTTTAAAGGACAAGGCTACAAGTTCCTCTGCCTCCTACTCAGCCTGGCTCCGCAGAGCTCTCTGGCACCGGCCCCTTTCACCTCCTTCCCTGTTTTGCAATCCTGGCTCATGCGCCTCCGCAGGCTTCGCTCCGATCACACTCAGAGCTTAGCCTTGCAAAAACAGGGCCTGTCACTTGCAGGAACAGCAACGTGCTGAGATTCCAACAACAGAGAAACGTGATTCTCTGCCCTTTGTAAAGCGGAGGAGCGGAGGAGGCAGCACCTCAGCACTGGCTCTGGGTCCCCACCGCAGGCTGGCAGCGCCGGCTTTCACCTGCGGCACCGTGGGCTCGCTCAGGGCGCCAGCGCCATGCACAGGGGGAGAAAGCTCCTCATGCCGCTTGAACCACATCTGGCACATCTTGCACCGCTCTGTGCAAGCGGACGCTCGCGAGATGCCTCCCCACACGCTGCCACCCGGCCCTGCTCGGAGGGACCGGCCACCCGCTCCCCGCTCCTTCCTCCTCACAGCTTTTCTGGCCCTGAGGTCTGTCCCCTGAGAGCATTTCAGCTGCTGGGAGCCACCAGCCCCATGGACAGCAGCACCCTGGCACAGCATGGCACAGCACAGCACGGCACAGCACAGCACGGCACAAAATGCCTGGGGATCCTGTGCCCAGGCAGCCTGGGGCAAAGCAGCGCACCCAGCAACCAAAATGCAGAGGCCCCCCCAGGCACAAGCCTCAGGACACAAAGCCCCATAAGGAAACCCCAGTTTTCGGTGGCGGGCGGGCTCGGGCCGCGCCGCCGCGGAGCTGCGCCCCGGCGCTCCTTCACTCACCAGTAGTAGATTCGGATCAGCGCCGAGGGCCACAGCAGAAAGGAGGCCACGAAGGCCAGGATGGGGATGGCCAGGGTGCCTCCGGCGATGACGAACATGTTGAGCACGTCGGGGTCCATGGTGGCGTGGCCCCACCTGCGCACATGGAGCGGAGGTCAAGCGCCGGCACCGGTGACAGGCGCTGCCGAGGGAAGCACCGCTGCCCGGCGGGGAGGAGGTGCCGGGCGCGCAGGATGCCGTCTTTCCGTCTTTAAACTGGATTATTTCTCTTGGCTCCTCAGCGCACCTACTTACCGCGCTCTTATCCCGTCGGGAGCGCGCTGCACCTGCGGGCTCTGCTCGCTCCGGGCACGCGCCAGGCTGCGCGGCCGCTCCACGGTGCCAGCACCAGGGCTGACCCGGCGGCTCCCTTGCCCCGTGCCGGGCCCAAATGCCCGGCACACGATGCCTGACCTAGAATCGGCCGCTGAGCCCGTTCGCCACCGTGTGCCCCACGGAGACGGCACCAGCCGCCGGGCACGGCCGTACGGTGCCGCCAGCGCCGGTGTCCCCGCAGCATCCAGGAGCCCATCCCTGCGCTGCGCGGGGCTGCTGCTCTCAAACCCGGCTCCCGCAAACGTCCTAAGGGCCCCGGTGCTCAAGGACAGGTCGCCCACGCGCCAGCGCTGCCTTCCCCTGCGCCCGCTGCCCGCCTCGCGCCGCACGCACGTGTGCGCATTAAGGGATTAAACCTGCCCCACACGCGTCCCTTAAATCCCCGCGTTAACCAACTCCTGCCCCACCTCGCTCCTCAGCCAGCTCCTTAGCTCTTTACAGAAAGCTCTTTTTAGCTCAGCTCACTCTGTAAAGCTCTTTACAGAACCAAACCTTTCCCGCGGCTGGTCTCCCTCCCGCCCGCCATCAGCACCAGGCTCCTGGGGACCCACACGGAGGGACCCGCTCCGTTTCTCCCGGGAGCCGCAGCAGGTGCCGTGCCGAGAGCCCAGCCCGCCTCCTGCCCCGTCCGATGCTACGGCACTGCATCCCACTTGGGACACACGGGGTACGCGAGCAGGATAGAAAGTGTACAGCAGCTCTCAAGCTATGGGAAAAGCCACCGACAAGGTTTGCCCTCTCCTCAGGGGAAGCAAAACAAGAGATTTGTGGTGTATTTTAAATGTTCTCACTAGGCACCTCCTTAGTAAAGCTAAGCATCCTTCACTTTCCTACCCTCAGCAGCATGCTGCGGTGGTTTATTCAGTTTAACGTTTCGTAGAAAGAGCTTCCTTCTCTGTACAGGTTGCTCGGAAACCAAGATTTCGTGCAGCAAACAAGCCCTATATTGGGAAGCAGCGTTGCTCTGCACTGTAATGTGCCTGGAAGCACTTTTGCTAAGTCAGGAAAATGGGCAAAAAATAGTCTCAGAAAATAGACAACAACATTTTTGACCTGTAGCAAAAGTAAGGCTGTATCAGGGACCAATTATGAGGGAAGAAATGTGACCCTTTCCCCCCATGCCCTTCTTTCCAAACATTTCCATAGGTTCTGGGGTCTTCTCTGCCGGTGCCCCAAGGGCAGGCCCGGAGTCACCTTCCCCCCTACCCTACGTGAGGGGTCTCAGGCTCCATGGCTTGGAAGGCAAAGGGAAGGCTGGAGGCAGCCCCGCTCACCTGGCCGAGATGCCTCCTCTTCCTCGCGCGGCAGGTCCTGCTCGCTGCCGACCGCAACGGCGCTCCCAAGAGCACTGCAACACAAAACGGGCAACATCAAACTCCCCTTCTTAGTCCTTTCAGGCCCTGCAGCTGGGAGAGACGACAAGTTTGGCACCTTTAAGTAAGACACGTTGTTTTTCCCCTCTGAGCAACCTTTCCCCTGATTATAGTCCTGTAGGCAATAACGCAGAATGAGGGCACTCGTTCCAAGTGGGAACAAAGTGCAAGCYGGCATCCCGAGGGGAAGCGGGCCGAGCGCAGGACGCTCTCCCAGGAGAGATCATCYGCTTAACGGCTCGGGCACGTTCGCAGCACGGCTGAGCTGCGACGCGGGAGCCGGAGCGAAATGGGCATCCTCACTGTGCTCCAAATGCCTGCAGCGAGTAAAACAAAGCACGTTAACCAGGCTCCTTCCCACTCCCTTCCTGTCTGCTTGAAATCTCTTTCGCCATAGATGTGTGCACTCCAAAGCTCTTGTATAAATTGGGCTGCGAGGTGGCGCAGCCCCAGGAAATCATTACAGACGAAAGATGCTCGGCTGAATTTGGTAGCAGCTTTTGTCAGGCCCCAGAGCACCCAACCTGCGGGGAGGCCGCACGTGCCGAGGCTGCTGTGTGCCCTGCGGATGCTGCGTGTCCCAGGGATGCTGCGTGCTCCAGGGATGCTGCGTGCTCCAGGGATAACGTGTGCTCCAGGGATAACGTGTGCTCCAGGGATGCTCTGCGTGCCGAGGCTGCGCGCGGGCGAGCGCGCTGGCAGAGCGCAGGCGCCGTGGCCGCTGTGCCGCCGGCTGCACCCGCTTTCCGCTTCCGCGGAGCGGCTCGGCTCATCTCCATGGTTACCCCGGCACAGCCGCTCGCCCAGGGCGACACTTCCCGATGCAGCAATGGAGCGGGCGGCAGCCCGGGGCTATGGGGCCGAAGATGCCCGTGTGTGGGCAGGGTGCAGGGGCCGGGCAGCCGCGGCGCTGCCGTCTGCTGCCCCAGGACAGGGCGACGCAGCATGCGGAGGCGGCCGGGCCAGCGCGGGGAYGGGGAGGCCCGTGCGCCGAGGATGGCACCACCGAGATGCGGATGGCAGGTGGAATAACGGCCTAAACGTGCAGCAAGGAGGGAGGYGGTGCAGCCGGAGCCCCGGAGCGCTCCGTGCCGGCCTGCACCCGCAGCTCTCCGTGCCGGCCCACGGCTGGGTCAGGTGCGTGCGCTCGGGCATTGCCAAGCCCCAGCATAGGAAGCTGCAGCAGGAATCACAAAAAATGCATTTGTCTCCAAAAAAGGCATTTGTCTCGAGGGAAAAAAAAAAAAAAAAAAAAAAGAGAAAAAAAAAAAGAACACCACACATAAAAGAAAAACAAGCCGCACTGGAAGCGGCTCAGGCCTCACAGGGCCTCGGGAGCAGGGCTGAGCCCTTTCCCCCTCATGTATTTCCAGATGGCAGAAATGAGCTCGTTATTTCTGCAGCGCCAACGAGCAGCCCTGACCCACTTGCGCTGTGCAAGGCCGCTCGGGGCCAGTGCGTCGGGGCAGCCTGCGGTCCCTGTGCGCAGTGAGCAGGGCCCCAGCCACTGTCACCGGTCCCACAGGGCCCCAGGCGGTGCCACCGGTCCCACAGGGCCCCAGGCGGTGCCACTGGTCCCACAGGGCCCCAGGCGGGGCCACTGGTCCCACAGGGCCCCAGGCGGGGCCACCGGTCCCACAGGGCCCCAGGCGGGGCCACCGGTCCCACAGGGCCCTGGGCGCTGCTGCAGGCCCCCCAGGGCCCCAGGCTCTGTCATGGGTCACACAAGGTCCTGGCTGCTGTCACTGGTCCTGCAGGGCCCCGGGSGCTGTCATCGGTCACACAGATCCCGGGCGCTGTCACCCACCCCACGGCGGGCAGACCAGGGCACAGCCGGGGCCCGGCTCCYCRCGCACTCCGTGYCCGGGATGCACCGGCTCCCTGCGCGCCCCTCTGCTCCCCCGCTCCCCGCACCGGTTCCCGCACAGGGCTCAGCTCCTGCTCGGGGCTCGGCTCCCCGCACGCTCCGTGCCCGGGATGCCCCGGTCCCGCACGGGGCTCGGCTCCCGCTCGGCTCCCGCTCCCCGCAGCGGCTCCCGCTCGGGCCGGCCCCGGTGCCGCGCGGCTCCCGGCCACGGCAGCGCGGCCCGCGGGTGCGGGAGCCGGGGGGCCGCGCGGTGACGACGCGGGGATCCCGCTAGCCGCACAGGAAGCCACGTCCCCTCCCCCTCCCCTTCGCATTTTAAGGCCAATTAATTATTCTCTCTTTTTCTCCCCTTGCCTTTCAGGCGCCCCCTCCTCCCCCGCGGCTCCCGCGAGCCCCCGC